GAAACGCATCATCGATAAGAATGAAGACTATTTAATTTAATAAATGTATTGTTTTGATATATAAGTTCGAGTTTTTTCATCTAAAAAAAGCGACATTAATTTCTTGGCGACCGTTCAATTACACACATTTCCTTCACTTCTTGGGGTTGATCCGGCATGGCCAGGTGGTTAAGGCACTCGACTCGCAATCTGAGGGTCGCGGGTTCGAATCTCTGTAACACCAAACATGCTCGCCCTTTCAGCCGTGGAGGCGTTATAACGTGCCGGTCACTCCCACTATTCGTTGGTAAAAGAGTATCCCAAGAGTTGGCGGTGGGTGGTGATGACTAGCTGCCTTCCCTCTATTCTTACACTGCTAAATTAGGGATGGCTAGCGCAGATAGCCCTCGTGTAGCTTTGCGCAAAATTCAAAAACAAACAAACAAACTCTTCTTGGCCGTCTTATATAAAAGAATACCGTACATCTAGTAACCTCCCGAGGATTCACGAAGCTTCGAGAATATGACGTATTACTATCGTCACGTGACCTCCGCTGTCGTAACAATATTGGCATGTGATACAGTTCTTTTGCAAAACCTACATTAATAAAATAAGTGGTGTGTTTACTAATTTAGAAGTATGGGTCAGAATTATTATTAGGAATATTCTAATGGATAAACAAACACATTTATTTTAGTACTAGTAGCATCCATATAATTAATGTTTGATGAAAAACATGTTAATTAATTAATTCAAAAATATTATAGAAATTTTTGCAGTAAAATCAGAATATCTCTTCTTGAGTAAGAAGTTTTGACGTTCAAGATTTGACGGTTTATCAAGTTAATAAAATTATCAGTTTTCAACATACTCTTGTAAACTTAGATATTAATATTGTTGCCAGAAACTTCTTATGAGAAGTTATGATTAGATTCTTTTAAACATATCATTATTAACTGTCGCAATATAACCTACATATATTGATTCGACAACAACACAAAAAAGTTCTTTCAATCATGAGTTATTATTATTATTATCATCATTTTTAAAGGCTTTTGCGGTGGCGCCTCCTTGTAAACTCCGTGTATCTTGAAATTGGTGGATCCTCGTGATTCAGAGTATAATGAAAACAAAAATAACATAATATTGTGATAGAATGTAATACAGCGAGCTATTGGCTTACGCTTTAGCAACTGTCGTGGCGAACGGCTTCTCGAGCCATGGCAATAGCTTTCTTTTGCTATGAAACAGAAGCTGGAGCCAAAATATGAGTAGTTACATAAAGCAGGAACTCCACTTATGTACTGCACGAAACGCGGAGAAAACATTACACTACAGTGATTTTAAACAAAGATTCTTTGATTATCGTCTGATATCCAGTACTCAAACAGTTACAGCGAAAAAAAGAAATAATAGAAGTATTGATTCCAAGAGTGTCAGGCATTTACTTTGCTTATATTTCGTTTACTGACGTTCATGTGTATACGAAGAACGTTTAAACAAGTCTCACAAAAAAGAAAGCAAATATGAAATATTTTCCACAGTTATTGATATTATGTTCGCTACCAAAGCTCTTCAAAGAAAAAAAGTCATGGATTAATGATATAAGTAAAAAAACAATAATTAACAACATTGAACAAACACCTGATACTTGAATACTTCCTTCCTTCCATATATGGCCAGGAATTCCATATATGGAAAAGTCTTATTCCAAACATGGTGACACCGCCCTCCCCTATTAATATGTTTAATATGTATCACTGCCCTTTAACTACTTTATGTAGTAACTTTGTGTAACTAATCTTACACTGTTTAAGTATTTGGACTAAAAAGAAAAGACCAATAAAAGAAAATCATTCTAACGTATTATTCGAAAAAAAGTATATCTACTTATTAATATTTTTCGGAATTATTTTTAAGCGCATGAACACACGTTTTAAGCAAATGTTACAGTAAGCTATTTTTTTGCCCTGGTGGTGTTCCAGTGCATGCTCACTCAGAGTGGGAATTGAATGTTTGTTGTGTAGTTGACAAGAGGGGAGGCTGAGTGAATGGAATTGAACTTGAAGTGACGTGATAGTCATGCAGAGAATTTCATCGATTGGACAAGAAACGAGTCATCCTGGACTCATGTTAGAAAATATAGGCTCTTTAACACAAGGATTTAGTGGTGACAGTGAAGAGGACTCCAGAGAAGGAAATTCTAATGGCCCTGGCGGCCAGAAACGTAGTGCTGAGGAAGCTGGGCTTTCCGAACGGTCAGGAATTGATGTTGGAAGCACGTCGGACAAACTAAAGAAAACAATTCCACCAAATGGAAAAAAAACTAAGGGTCGTGTAAAGATAAAAATGGAATTTATTGACAACAAATTACGGCGATATACGACTTTTAGTAAAAGAAAAACTGGAATTATGAAAAAGGTATGCTTTAAAAGTTAAATTGTAATCGTAACCGTAGCTTTGTAAAGCATTGTTATTTGTAATGTTAAATTACTTCTTTAAGTTAAAAATGGTAAGTTAGCTAATGTTGAACTAATAATTATATTATTTGCACTGACTATTAGAAGTACTACTACGAATATAATTTATTACGTAGGCTTAAATTAGCTCCAATTACAATGTTAATTGTTATTAACAGTAACAACGTTTTACTTTATTGTATTATTCCTAGACCAGTGTACTAATTACTATGGTTAGTCAATGTAGAATGTTTAAAGCCTAAAAAAGTATCGGAAAGTGGTTTGGCTTACTGAGGTAGTATTTCCACATGAATTAAAACAATCAAACTGAAGAATAAAAATGACCCTTCACCCCCGTATATACTACTGTTAGTGTTACTACTATTACACATTTCAGGCTTTAAAGTTTAAGTCAGCTGTTGTAAATTTTCTTTACTTTCACAGGATAAGTAAAAAAAAAGGAGGGGATAAAGCAGATGTAGACGTAGAAGCTGTATTTTGGGTTAATCTACATCCTAGCAAGAAGCCTGTTCAAGTAATTCTAGCAGAGTAATCAATAACTAGCCACATATGATGTAGCATATCTGACTTGTGTAGTTAAGAAGATTATTGATTGTCTTGCTTTATTAGCCCACTAGTGGTGTAGTGAAAATAATTACTTTGGCATGAAAAACAAGTTTATATTATTCACAGCTGTTACCAGTTTTAGACAAATCACTGCTGATAAATTTTAGAATTTTTCATAAAAAATTATCAAATGATTTACATAAATAAGTTCATCAGATTTTTCATCTATCCAAGTTTACTTAGGAATTCTCAAGCATTGCCCTGTGTTTACATGGTTAACAAAGCAAAAAACACCATAAATAACTCAGGCCTGTGTATTTTTAATATTAAATGCTTTACAGTGTTTAAGAAACATTAAAATTATAGAGGAAAAAAGAGTAAAATGCATAAACTTGGTTTGGTTGTAACACAGAAATGATGGAAGTGAAAGATCATTCAGATAAGTCAAGATCACCCCTTCACCCAATCAAAAAAATGATCCAAAGAACAGAATTCAAAACTGAATGACATTATTTATAACTATATAGTTATCCAAGTAACTTTTAAGAAAATTATAACTAACAGCACAAACTACATTATGTAGTCATTATTCAAACAGTTTTACACACTAAATATATGTAGGAAGAAAAATATTTATTTCACAACTAAGAAAAATATTGAAAAAGCCAATAAAAAGTTTTTTCTTTTTAGTAATTACGTTAACAACATATATGTAGTATAATATTTTGTACTGTAAGAAAAAAATTTATAAAGCATAGCTACTGATTCAACAAATTGAAGATTTTTTTTACGACACTGTGCAGATGGTTTTCAGTATTAATTTTCATTGACATTCTCAGTTTTGGCATAAACTTAAGTTGTCTGCTTGTACTTGCTCATTTGTAGACTTGAGCCTATGTTAGTTACTGTTTGGTTGTGGTAAGATAATTTTGTTCCATAGATTTTTTTAGTGAAAGTGTTTCATCATAAGTATTTTTGCTTGATTCACAAACAATATACATATATGCACACACACACACACACACACACACACACACAACAATATACATATATATATATAATAATATATACAGTACACTGTATACTTAACTTAGTTTAAATTGTTTTATTCTTAGTTTGGCGAGGTCTTTAGTAATTAATTCAGACAACTATTTATATTAATTTTTCAGAACACAGAAGAAAAAAACTTTAAACTTTTGTTGATTATTTTAATGACTACTGTATACTTTGGTAGATTATTTTCATTTAAATAATCTTGTTTATTTTTTTCTGTTATTAGTTTGAAATTTAACAGCATTTTTGTGTTCAAGGAAAATTTTTATGATGCAAGTACACTTTTACTGAAGTAAATTAGTAATTTAGTGAACTGTGCAGTGTATTTCAGTATCCTCTATTTTTTTTTTTCAAAATAAGTAGAATTATTAATGTTACCATACTAAACATAAGTTTGTTGAAAGAAAGTTCGGGCTTTGGGTCTTATTTTTCAACCCATTAGTTTTAACAAACAGCTGTTCCTTTATCTTATGTATTTAATGTACAGATTACTTACCAGTATAAGTCACAAGGAAGGTGATTTTTGAAGTGGAAATATCTGGCAACTCAACAGTTTGGAAATTGACAAAAGTTCTGAGCATTACTAAAATATAATAAAAATAGATTTCTCTTGCTAAATGTTTTGTGAATGTAGTAACTGAGTTGAGTATGAGGCGACAATTATAGTAAGATTTACATAACTGTTATATCTTAGTAGAACCTTAGATGGGCAATTAGTGAAATTTGATAATCTATTAATCGTCAAGCTCATTAATTGATTACATTTAACTAATTAATTATTCCTACATGGGATTAGATAGATAGTTAGAATAATAAAGAGTAGTAGCAATCAGAAACACTAATTTTGATTATTTAATTATTTTTGTGAGTTGTGACACTAATTTAGTGCACTAAATAACCTAGAATTAATAAAAATAATAATGAGAAATCATAATTGCAATATTTTGATTTCTTGAATAGTTTGTATAAACAAAAACACAGTTGACTATTTTCATGACGCAATCAATTACTTAATTGTAATTAATCAGTTATTTTATACTAATTGATGATATCAATGCGTATAGATAATCAGTTATATCAAGATTGTCACCCAGCTATAAACTAATTTATAGAGGGTGCCCAAAACCACACAAATGTTATTGTTTTTTTTTTTTATATATATGGAGTTTCATGTGATGCATGAGGTAATTACTTATTTAAAACTTGTTTTACTACAGAAAGACAATAGTTTATTATATATTTGTTTGGAAATCAAATTTATTTCTGCAGAGCAACATATTAGTTCATATCATGTATTTCTATCTTTGGTTATACATTATTTGTTTCTGCCACTTAATGTATAATAAGACCAAAAAATGTCATGTAATTTTATCTTAAATGTGTTCTAATGAAATAGTTTATGCTTTTAAAATTGCCCAAAACCATATTTCCAGGATTTTTTTTACGAACGCAAAAGAAGAACTGTGTACTAAAACTTAGTATTTGAGGAGAATTGTTTGACTTTAAGAAAATGATAATGAATATACTTTTCTACAATTTATATTGAAAAGCTGATGACAGGTGTATCTGTCTCAATTACCAATCCAATGAAATTCATTCATATTGTAGCATCTTTGGCTACTTCTTACATGCATCTTATAAATGCATCACAAGATAGAAAATACTTTAACACTTGCATACACAGCCTACTAGAGATAAAACACTGTTTGATTAAATAAAGAAACAGGAAACAGAGAATGAGGTTACCATTAGTATTTAGTAGATCTGCCTTTTGCAATATTTAAAGCAGAGACATTGTTACAGTCTGTATTTTGAAACTCTAGGCCTGTGTGGCTGAACCCCATTCCTGGCAAAGAGCTTAGATGAGGGTGTCCATAAAGGTTAATTACAAAAAATTAAGTACTTAAATAAAACAATGCATTTTAATCTTTAAAAACAGAAACATAGGAAAAGTATACTTAATAAGCTATACTGATAGCCAGGGTGATTTTTAGTTTTGCTCTAAGTACATATCTTACTCTAATTGGAAATTATTATTAATTGTTTGAGATGCTTGCTGAAATATTGATCAAAAGATAGACCACAAATGATGATAGGGTTCACATTTGGCCTGATCAAGGGGAAGTGGTAATGCCCTGACATTCAAGCAATTATTTTGTGATTTGGGCTGAATGAGCAGAAATTCACATTACATGAAAACACTGCCTTGTCGGGTAAGATGATTACTGACATAGACAGATAGAAGGCCTTGCTCGAGAATTACAAAGGTATTTAGCTGCTGTGACTATCTCTTCGCATAATCAGTTATATTGTCCAGCTGCTCAAATGTCACCCATACCATAATATAAAAACCACCACATTTTGTTATGGCTTGAAGATGGTTCAGTGAAAGTTCTTTGGAGGGTATTTGCCAAACCCAGGTACATCCACTGTCTGAGAATTTTGCAAGTTTGAACTCTTTGGAAAAAATATTAGCATCTCAAAAAGTAGAAAGGTGTAATATCAGTGATAACCACTGCTGTTGACACTACATTGCGTGGAGTGAGGAGCAGCTTTCTTTCATCTAACTACTTTACCATTGTTTCTCATGCCATGAAGGTAACTTCTGATATTTGGGTGCAGGTGCACATGTCATGCAGAATTGGTGGCTGTTTGATGTGGGTCAGTCTCCACACTTCTCATTGCTGCATGAATAGTTTATACTGTTGGTTTTGGGTATCAAGAGTATGCACAAACTGTTGTCTTCTGACATCACTCAAACTGTTTTCCATCCTTATCTCTATAGGCAGAGATACTACAAGTGGCCTTGCAATTTCATGTTCACTTCAGTATCATCTAACAGGGTAATTTCATGCTAATGTTGTTTATTGGATTCAGATTTTCTGGTACTCTGTGTAACTTTTGAACCAATTCTCTTAGTCTGTATGTTCAGTGAAAAGTTCACTACAAAGAATAAAAAATACTATAACTTGGAGCTGTTAAATAATATTGTAGATTTCAATTAAATTTCTTTCATTAACTGTTAATTGGAATTTTTAATGATATCACACAATTATGTAATGTGATAATTGAGATGTGAATGATATGGTTTTCTGGAAAAGGTAATTATGCATAATGTAGCTAATGATCTAGAAAATTTTAAAAATTGGAAATCATTTAATCCTCAAATTTTCTGATTTAGATATATTCCAGGCTTTATCTTCTAAATAAGAATTACAATTAGAGTATTTCTCTTTTTTTTATTGTTAGATGTAGATAAAAATCACTATAATTAAGTTGACAGTAAAAATATTTAAACAATACAGATTGTACCTTAGAAGTAATAACGATTTCATTTGAAATTTTTTATGTGTACACATTAAGCTTTTGTAGCAACCACAATAATGTATGGTGCATTTTGTTCTAAAATTTTAGTTTTGGGGACAATTTTATTAATGTGATATTTGCCAGACGTATTGAATGAAAGCAATGCAAGTAAAATTCAAGCTTGTAAAATTTACTTTGTATTTTTAGCAAGTATAAAATAAATTGTTTACTTGCAGGATAGGTGAAGAGTAAACAATTTTTTAAGGCTGGTTTTAAATGTTGACAAAGGAAACTGTTTCATTCAGATTTATATGAAGCCATTTTTATGTCACCCACACATGCTCTTGCAAAACCAATGACCATATTTCATATTGTATGATTTTATTTTTTCTCCTGAACATTTTTCTGTAAAAATTAATTGTTGAATTATTTACACAAAGCTCACAAAATATGAGTTAATGCACAAATAATTGTATGTATATATGTGTGTGGAATTATTTAAGATATATTAAATCCAAGATTTAAAAGGTGTTTAGACTGGTTACTACTTTTTTTTTTAATAGTCAGTAATATTTGGTTTTTAAGTAATGTCTACAAAGTGCAGTAGAAAAATATGGGAATGCCTTTTTGATAAATTTGAAATTTACAGTTTTGTTTTGCAGCTCATTACCAAAAAAAAAGAAGTAGCTCTGAAAACGTGTTTATATTAATGATTGTTTCATTATGGTGTATGTGATTTCAAACCTATGTTTGGAGAACTTGAATATGAGGGTCATACAGTCTTTAAATGTAACTACATATAGAAGCAGCATTAGGTCAGTTTGTACTGTTTTATAGATTATCATAAACAGCTTTGGTAATTTGTGTTCTTCAACCAAGTTCATGTTCTGTGCTTATCTAGTTTAAAGAGACGTTAATATTTTTCCAGTATTTAGAGAAAATGACTTATCATGTCAGAAAAGTTGAAAAACAGTGTGTATATATATATATATATATATATATATATATATATAAATATAAGTAACTTATATAGTAATAATAACAAAGTAAAACTAATTACGTAGTACTAGAATATAGTATTAGTAGTAAAGTAAAATTAATAATAGTAG